CTTCAATCTGATATAAGTGCAGTATCAAAGTGGAGTTCCGACTGGTTATTACCGCTAAACGTTGATAAATGTGTTGTTCTTCATATTGGTAAAAACAATCCTAAATTAGTGTATAATATTAATAATAATGCCTTAAAGACAGTATCGTCCCAAAATGATCTCGGCGTTATCATTACTAAAGACGTAACGTGGTCACAGCATATATTATCAGTAAGCAAACAATCAAACTCTCAACTATTCTTATTAAATATACACAACATATGTTCGTCCTCGCCTGGAGTACTGCGGTCCTGTTTGGTGTCCCGTATTAATCTCGGATCGTTCAGCGATTTGCGACAAGGCTTCCGAATGGTATAAGAAGGCCACCGTATGAACAGCGTCTGTCTACCGCTAATCTGACTTTTTAGTGAGCGTCGACGGCGTGGTGATTTAATCGTTTGTTTTCGCGCAATTAGGCATATGTTCTGTGTTGATCTTTCGGATTTATTTGTATTAAATAATGACCTACGCCTACGTGGGCACATGTTCAAATTAAAAAAAGGAAAATTTTAACTCTAGAGTTAGGCAAAATTTTTTTTCAAACCAAGTTTTCTCTGTATGGAACATTTTACCTGATAACGTTGTATGCGCACCTTCAGTTAACTCGTTTAAAAACAAATTTGATTCCTTAGGCTAATTATGTATATATCTGTATAGAGACAATAAATTATAATCACAACAAATTATACTTTCATTTTTATTTTAATATCAATTTATAGTAGTTTATAGATTAAAAAAAATTGTTTATTTTTAACTAAATTTTTTTGAATAATATGAGCTTTATAGGACTTCGGTTCTCAGCTCATATCAGTGAATAATAATAATAATAATAATAATAATAATTTAAACGGATATTTTTTGTTCTAAGTAATTTTTTTGTCATTAAGATAATTAACGAATTTTTAAGGCTACGGTCATAAATAGATTTGGCAACACCAAGATAAAATTGAAAATTTTTTAAATAAAATTCAAATCAACAAATTCATGACTATTTCAATACGATCTGAATGGGAAACAAATTTCTTTATTAATATTTATATATTTTTTACAATTTAATTTCAAGAAAAAGAAAAACAATTATAATTAGTAGTTTGCTAATACGAAAATTTTTGCAAATACAAACAATTAAAATTTAAACATTATTTCAGATATTTTTACATGGTAGGTCAACTATGTAATAATAAAACAATTTAAGTTTGTGTACTACATGCTATTTAAGGTGCGGTGTTTGCCAAATTAAGGAAAAATTGTTTTTTTTTTTTTTTTTATTAATTTAAGGGTATTTCTTAAACATTTTCATGGCATGTGGCATATCCCCACATAGCACAGGACGTCCATTGCATGTCCATTTACCGTATGTACGTCCAGGACCAATTCTGGACGTTTTATGTATGTCTAACTCAGTAAATCCTCGGGAAGTCCAGAAATAGATATCCGTAGAACGTCAATTCTACGTGCTTTATTATATTTCCATGGATTTACATTCGCATTTTATTATTATTTGGTTATATTACACAATTATATATAATGAGATAACATCGTTGGCCAAGATTTTTTAATTTAATTTAATTATTTAAAATTAATTCTGATGCCTTGGTAGGATTCCCCACTCGACCATTCACTGTTGGGTTCTAATTAACAGTGCTGTTCCTAAAGTGGCGCTGGGAAACAGTAACAAAGCCTACACAGAACACGAGGCTAATGGTTTTAGTAGTACATTCCGATGACACCAAATAAAAAAAAAAGATGGTATTGTCCAATATCCAATTAAATGAAGGCCACATAGACAAAAAACGAAGAAGGTTCGTTGCAAGAAAGGGACATTGTTGACAAGTAGGGTTGCCAGACGTCACGCTTTTGGCGTGGCAGCCACGCTTTTTGACTTGCCTACACGCTTTTTATGCAAATTCCACGCTTTTTAAAAGCCGGATTTATACAGAAATAGACCGGGTAAGAGACTCTCGTTTTACGAAAAATAAGTCGTTTAGAAATGGTCACAAAATTTGGACCTGATTATATAAAAATGCTCTATCGTCACGGTTGCCACGCTTTTCACTTCCGGAAATGTGGCAACCCTATTGATAAGTGACATTTGACTATGTTTTATTATTTATTTAGATTCAAGCACTGAAATATTCTCAGGGCTCAGGTTTTATTAAAAAAAAAAGCAAAAACATGGGACTGGTGTTCAATGTTCATGATTCGATGGTATGTACAGTACATATTATACGAGTACAAGTTCTATCATTCCGCCATTTGACTGTGATTCGACTCTGTGAGTTTGTGGTTGTTTAATATTAATTTATTGCAGTTTGTACTATTTTTATCTCTGAGACAGGTGGAAGTTTTCCAGTGAATACTACAAAGCTAAAAGATTAGTGAATTCATAATGTCTAGCAGGGCAAACTTACAAACAGATTGGATTTTCATATTGATCTGCCTTTCAGTTTGAATAAGCGATTAAATTATTTTCAGGTTCAAAGCAAATATGGCCAGATCAAGAAAAGAAACTGATCCAGGCATTGTTGAAAAGGGCAAAGTAGAGGAGAGATGGGATGAATTCGACGAAAAAGTTTTAATAATTATTCATAGATTATTTTTGCTTCCAAATAAAAAATTTTGAAATGTTAATTATTTTCACTAATTTTTTTAAACGTTTTCTCTATTTGAGCCTTTGAAAATGTCCATGGAGTGTTCTTAAATGGACTTGTAAGGATGTCCTGAATGTCCAAGCAGGACGTTTTTAAAACGCCCATAAGATGTATTTGTGCTATATGGGTCGCTTAAAAAAATAATTTTAAGGCTAATAATATGTAAAAATTCAATATAGTCGTCCTAACAAATAATAAAGTTACGGTAGATAACTCCAAAACAAGACTATATGGAATTCTTTCTACAAAAATATTCTACTTTGGAATATGTCAAATTAATGATTAAAATACCACAAAAAAATAGGCAATTTTTAGTTTTTTTTTTTTTTTTTTGTTAATGACTCAATTTACATAATTTTTAATAATTTTGATAATGATCCGAAATCAGTACCAAATTTTCTAAAACATTCTCAATTTGACTAACCTTCTATCTCTTATCTCTTTTTTATTTTGAGTCCCTCTTAACGGGTATACATTAATTCGTCAATCTTTCTCAAAAAAATAGGTATATATACACATACACAATTTATAAGCTATAAAGTCTTTAACAAATTTTAGTCAAAAATCAATAAATTCCAGAAAATACATTTCTATTTTTAGTGTCTTTCAATTTCGTTTGTTTTATTCAAAAATGGATTTTGTGATCTTGTTCATTATTTTATTATTATCAACACCAAAGCAATTCCTATATATTTTTTAAAAATACTGCTCCTTTCTACGACCTGCTGAGTGCGATGCAAATATTTGTAAACACCGTCTATGAATTAGAAATTGGCACTAAGAAATAGAAGATATGAGCTTTTTGCTGCTGTCTGGCGAAACCCAAATAGGACGAAACCGGTCATAATAATATAATGATTAGCTTCTATGACAATTTAAAGGGTTATATGTTGGTTGTAATTCAATGTCCGTGGGTCGTATATCCTGGGAAATAGCTATTTGTGAATTAAGAGCGGAGAAAGTGCTACTTTGCCGCTCGAGGTAAAAAGTTACCGCGCGACACTCCAGCAGAGCGCGGCATTTTATCGTGTGACGAAGTCACTAAATTTTCCTTTAGTTTAATTATAAAAATGTTTAGTTTAAGTTAATTTCCGCCTATTGAACGCCACCGTAGTTCAAAATATATAATTCTTTACTAAAATTCAGGCAAATTATTTGGTCATTTTCGTAAATGTCAAAAGGACAATTTTCAATCCTCCGATTTGTAAATATTGGCTACTCCCACTCCGAATCACTCTGAAACCGAACTATTCCGGACGGAAAGTATAAAGCCGGGTTCCCCGAGAATTCTCTATCTTCCAGTTGCTCTTTTATGAGTGCCAAATTTCAAAAGTAATACTGACGTTTTTTATGTTCGTCGTCCGTGTAAACCTGTGGAGAACTAAGGTAGAAATCTTTCACTAGTAACTTTATTATTAATATTTATTTTAATGTTGTTAAATATTAGCCAATAAATTATTTTTGTTCGAGAAAATTATTCTTTACTAGTCTGTTTTCAAAAGCTGAAAATTATGTTCCCAACTTTATTCGGAATACAGTTTTGTGCGTTCTGAAGACGTAAGCGATGCAAGTCAAGTATTATTGCAGTTTTACTTCGCCGACTTAATTTCTCAACATCCAAGGTCCCCCCGAGTCAATAGACCCTTTGCGAATCCGACATTCAGTGAAATCTTTAATTCACTACCTACTGTCGATCATGAGATAACGTTGTCCCCTTATTATTCACTATATCAACTCTATTAAACTGGATCTCTTTAAAAATATTTTAATCGCAGACCGACAATTAAAAACAGGTGAATTTTAATAAAGCTGAATTTGTCCGTAGAGTTGATGCTCATAGAGTGAATTGTTTTTCTACTTTCAGTGATGATTGGATTATTCACATTAACTTTCAGCCCCTGCCAGAAGGGCCCCGAACACTAATGCGTGTTCGCAAATTAATGTCCGAATAATCATCGAGATCGGAAAAAGGTTTCAATCACCGAGTATTTTTGTAGAATTTTTACACATTAAAGCAAATCAGTGGCGACTTTGGAAAAGAATTCGAACATCAATGGGAAAATAATTAAATATATATTTTTTAATTTTATACTAAAATAAAACCGTTGATATAAAAATAAAAAAATATGTTTTACCATTCGCAAAATCGATTATACCATTATAAATGTCATCAATTAGGTATGTGATATTTTTTGACGACTTAATTCTATTTTTTTTCTATTTAAAAGAATCTCCGACAAATTTTTCACGAATGGTATTTAGAGCTATTATGAGAAAACTTGACAATTAAATAAAAAGAAGTTTACGTACCTTTAGAAGAGTGAGGATTTTCTGCGACAAATCGTAATCAAAATTAGAATATTTGGAATTGGACATATCGTATATAAAGACTATACCAGCTTTTTGGGTCAATGGGTTTTGCAAGGCACAATCCAACTGGTAGACTACACCCTGTAAAGTAATTTGGTGCGTGCTATTAACAGGTGAATGCTTATGAGCAGTGAACACAGCTATGGCGGCATCTGTCGAATCTCTTTTTGGCTGAAACAAAAAGTTATGATCAATTTAAAACGTCAAAAAACGTGTTGATTATATTTGGCATCTTAGAAAAAAAGAATTGCATGTGTGATTATATTTCAACAATTTTATTATAATTTAATTTTGTAAAAATTTGATTATATTGGGATTAAGAGGAATTACAAATAAATTAATAGAATCTTGTATTAAGGACGGGGTATTTCTGTATATAAAAACCGTATGTGTAGACCTAAAGTTAAATCGACTGATTTCTGTATACTTAGCCAAATTAAAGATAAAGGTCTAAATAATTTAGGTCGTCTTACTAAATTTTCAATAGCAACCAATTATTAAAAATAACCCCATTTTATTTCAACACGCAAATCAGCTCATTTTTCCCCAGTTAATTTATCATACAGAGCATACGAAAATGATATTTTTAATCATGGTATATCTAAATAAAATATTGAAACTAAATTATATTTGTTTACGGGGGAGATCATATAGATACTTGGAGCTCATGAAATGTACAATAGAAAAGTAACTTCTAATAATTTATTTATTATTCTTGTATGGATTATGGGAACTTTTCAAAAAATAATTAGGTGTCTGGACCATACATAAAGTGGTGTTGCGTCTAAAAGCCTATAAGCTGCCTATAATAAAAATTCCAAGACATTATTTACGTGGACAGGCGATTAGTTTTTTTTTAATTAAACATAAATAAATAAATAAATAAATAAATAAATAAATAAATAAATAAATAAATAAATAAATAAATAAATAAATAAATAAATAAATAAATAAATAAATAAATAAATAAATAAATAAATAAATAAATAAATAAAAAAATAAATAAATAAATGAAACATATTTTAAATGTGCCCCTATTTATACATGATTAGCATAGGGTGTCTCAGAAACATTTTCGCTGGCGTAATAGGCACATCCCCGAGAAAGGAAGCAGTTGACAAACGGTGGTCGACAGTAGTAAGATTTAGATGCAATGGAGCGATTTACGGGGCTACAATGTGCTTCTTGTATTCGTGTTTTATAAAAACAATAATTATTGTGCGTCGTTTGTACAGAAATCATTATAACATAGCAAGAATGAAAGATATTCCAAGTGCAAATTTAATTTTCAGTACTCTCAAACGTTCTTAATCAATATTTATTTAAATTTGCACTTGGAACAATCATGCAATGTTCTAAAACTTAACACTGTCGACCACCGTTTGCGGACGGATTAATAAATAAATAATTCTGAGACACCCTCTATATTTACCCGCAGTAAAATTGGTTGCAAACCAAAACCCCTTGATTGCATTTACGCGGTACCCTGCGCATTTAAAATTTTTGCAACATCATTAAGGGGGAGTGGGGTAATCGTGCGCATCAAACTATTTCCTATTTCGCGGGCTTTTAAGCGCCTCCGACTAGTGCTGTGCTCTCTCCTTTCTACTGTGCATCACTGACGCCATTACTCACATCAGTTATTTATGTTTGCACCCAGTTTTTGTAATTTTTTGACATCGGAAAATAAGACGGTGAGTCCACTTTTTTTCTTTAATCGATAAGATATATTTATTTTATGGAAAAGTATGATCTTCTGCATCTATTGATGCTTGTTTTACATTGTTAGGTTATGTAGTTTGCTAACTGTATTACAGATTGTCATTTAATGTCTAAAGGAGCAATGATGCGCGCTGAAGCGCACCATTACCCCACACGTAATCTAATTTTAAATATTTTTTTTTTTCAGATGCCGAGAAATTATTCAAGGAAAACCACAATTCTTTCATATAAGGTAGAAGATTTACAAAACGCATTATTTGCGATAAGAAATTATGGCAGAAAAATAAGGGATGTAGGAAGGACCTTCAATATTCCTGAATCGACACTCAGAAAAAAACTGTCAGAAAATGAGCCGAAGCCTCCTCGTTTGGGTTGCAAGCCTGTGTTTTCAGAGGAAATAGAATCTGAGTTAAAAGAGTACATTTTAACGGTAGCAAAGCTATTTTATGGCCTAAAACCCAGGTGTTTTAGGCGACTAGCTTTTAGATATGCTGAGCAACATGACATTGCCCATAAATTCGACAAGGAAAAGAGATTAGCTGGGAAGGACTGGCTGTATGAATTTTTAAGGAGATTACCTGGTATAAAGCTACGGCAGCCTGAAGGAACCAGTTTGAATAGGATTGCATCTTTTAATAAGGACTCAACCAAATTATTTTTTTCAAACCTTCAAACTACCATGGAAAGGTTTAAGTTTGAACCCAAGAGTGTTTACAACATGGATGAGACAGGCATCACCACGATGCAGAACAAATGCCCTAAAGTTTTTTATGGTCGTAAGGTATCTAAAAAAGTAGGAGCTGCAATTTCTGGCGAAAGAGGAAGAACATTAACAGCTGTATTTTGTATGAATGCGGCTGGGAACTACATCCCTCCCATGATAATATATCCTAGGAAAAGGATGCCCAAAACTCTCGAGAAAAATGGACCAATTGGGGCGTTGTACAAATGTTCTAAGAACGGTTGGATCAATCCCGGACTTTTTGTTCAGTGGCTGGGTCACTTTCAGAGGCACACTAAGCCTACTGTTACTGATCCTGTCCTTCTGGTCCTGGATAACCATTTCAGCCACATTTCAATTGCAGCTTATAATTTCTGCAAAGAAAATAACATCCACCTGGTCTCGCTTTCTCCACACACATCTGGTCATCTTCAGTCTCTGGATCTGACATTATTTAGCCCTCTGAAAACTGCACTATTTAGGGAATATGATCTTTACTTGTCAAGTACCGGTCATAAAAAAATAACTGAATACGGCGTAGTCGAACTTTTAAACAAAGCCTTCATGAAAGTGGCTATAATGGAAAAAAGCAGTTTCAGGGTTTCGGACGTCTGGAATATCTCCATTGAATCCCGACAAATTTACCGATGCTGATTTTGAACCTAGCCACCATGTAGGAAAACTTACAGTAGAAGCAACACGTGAACTTGAAACTTCATCCAGTCAAGATGGTGCAGCAATTCTTCCAGAAAATCATGTGATTAATCTCTTTGTCTGCGATAGTTTTTGCAATGTTGAACTGGATATACTTTTTAACAGCGTGAATTTGCGCCTGGAAGATACTTGGGTATTTACCCAAACTTTCAGAGTACTTGGTTCTAGGCCTATTTAATATTCTTCTGTGGTTGCTGTATTGCAAGCTTTTAGGTCGCAACGCGATTAATTCTCGACTCCAAGTGGTTAATATAATTCATAGTGTGGTATGACCCTTGAAAAATCAACAATTAAACAGGGAATTGTCCAGGGATCAACCCTGGAACCCCTCCCGTCCCTCGTATGTGAAAAACCTTACGATTAAAGTACTTACCAATATTGTAAATTTCCCTGTGACCAGTTCTGAGCGTAAAGGTTCACTCTTGGGGTCGAAACATACTAGGCCTTCGCGTTGTCTTGTCTGTTCGTGTTGGTCGAAGAGTGTTAAAGCTCGGGCGACGTCGAATTTCCGCGCGTACAAAAATCGCACCGCGGTAGACCACGAAACCGGACCGATTTTTCGTCGATACTTCGCGTTCACTTTTTCTATGAATTCCTTCGTAACCTGAAAAAAAAAAAAGATGAAAATTTAGTAAATGTAGAAAGTAAAAGCGACGAAGATTCAATAAGGGCTAACATTTCAACGAGATGTGAGGGTACAAGTGGGCGTTGAACCACGCCCTAATTCAGATAAATAGAGGATCGTCAGATAAAATATCAGCATTACAATTAAATTACAAAAACCGAGGGGTAAACCAATGAGGTCAAAACCAAGAGGTGAACTACTCCCAAAATGCTAGTACGTTTTCAATCGAAATCACCGAAATCGCTACAAATACTCTTGAAATCATCATATAAAATCATGGCCGAAATTTTTTCGAAATATTTTTAAGGGGGGGGGGTCGACGAAGTGTGACATTGTGTGACAAGGGGTGGGAGGGTTCATAAATTTTGTGACGTCACATTTAAAAATCTAACACGAAATTTGAACTATTAACGAAAAACTTAAAAATATTTCCAACTCTATCTGTATGGCTAGTGCAACGCGCCGCCCGCCTAAGAGCCCTTTGATAAATGATGTTGATTTAATTAAAAAATAATTTAAATGCAAATGAAATAAAATTTCGGAACTGCTGTTTAAATTTAATAATTTCTAGATGTAAAATTGCAAAATATGACGTCACACTAGTCTCACAAGTGTGCAGCTGTTGTAACAAGAACAGGGGGAGAGGGGGGAGGTTAAAAATTATGAAATTCAGGTGAAGTAATTAATGGATGGCCACAATAGAGGTAAGTAGTGGATAAAAAAACAAGAGCAAAAAAGTGAAGATCCACCAAAAAAAGTTCATTTGAATAAAATGTATCGATAATTCATAGGAAATTATATATACATAAAAATTAAAGGCGATTTCAGCGAGATCACCGAAAGGGGGTTTTTGGTGAAATCACCTAAATCATGTAGTCATGGTGATTTCGCCGAAATCATACGATTTTTTTTTATTTTGACCTTAGTGGTTTGTCTCTCGGTTAAAACTGACATTTTCATTATGCTCGTTCGACGACAAAGTGCTCACTTACTTAAGACCTCCAGCAATTTCGCTGGGCCATTTTCTCTCTCCAACGTTTTTAAGCTGTGCGTAAGTTCTAACTGGACACGTGTACCAAAGCAAGAAAAAAGTGATAGCTTTTCACTGAATTAGTGTCCGATAAAAATATTGGGCTGCTTTTAGTGTTTAACGAAAATAAAGAATAAAAAAAAATAGTTTTATATATTTTTTCGCCAGGTTTTGAAGACGCTGAAGTTTGAAAAACTTTATTAGCCATTTTTAATGTCTATATTCTCTGGTTTAATATCATGAAAAACAATGTTATTAGTATATTTTTATTGAAAATTTTTAAAAACACATAATAAAACCAATATTTTAATATGACGCTGTCATACCTAAACAATATAAGGTGGCCAAATTTAGCATTTATGAACCAGCACATTGAATATTACAAAATGATGCAACTTTAAAAATCTGTAAAAAATAAAATTAGATATCAGTTTCGTTTTCAGCAACCTTAAAAACCCCTGACTGATTATTTTCATCCATTTAGACAACTACTTTGTCAAGTTATTGCTTTTTACATTTAAACCACTAATATTTTTTTTTAAATTCTTTATTTTCGTTGGACATGAAAAACAGCCCACTATTTTTAATGGATATCATTTTTATCTTCATTTGGTACAATCGTCCACTTTTTTAAAATAAGTCACGCGCATGCCCACTCATGTACCACTTTAAAACGTTGGAGAGAGAAAATGGCCCAACGAAATTGGTGGAAGGAGGTGAATTTTGTGTAATTTAAAATAAAAACTTGAAAATAAACCAAAAACTAGCCATAAAAAAATAAGTTACGCGCATGACTCATCACGTACTACCTACTTTAAAACGTTGGAGAAAAATCGACCAGCAAAATTGGTGGAAGGTTTAATATTATTTGTAGGTGGACACTTATCGTCGCATGAGCATAATGAGAATATTAAGAAAATAAGTCTAGTTTTTGGAAAGCACGTAACTAGCACTTGTAATGCCTATAACTATGTAAAGGTGCATATAAATATAATATGCCAGCCCCAAGTCGTACCTGCGTCGTCCCAACAACGGGCTGTGTGCCTACCACGGGCCGAGCCAATTAGGATCGAAATAGAGCCGCTGATTTCCATCGCGCGGTAGATATACAACATCGACCAACTTTGACGAACCTGGTCTGAACCTCGCCCTTTCGTGATTTCATTGGACACGTATCGTAGCACACTTTAACAACAAATTCAGCCATAAGAAAATAAGTCACAAATCTGCACATTGGCTCTAGGACTATTATTGGTACACGTTACGGGATACATATAATACATATAATTTTCAACTTTAACACGTTGCATGCTAAAAGCCTAATGATATGCTATTGATAGGTGCTGGAAGAGTATTTTCTGAAAACAGTCATAACTGTGATTTATTTCTTGTTGGCAGAATACATTTGGAAAGTTTTTGGTACATTTTCTCTTTTTTAAAGTGCGGCGCTCATAGGCGTCGTCAGCACTGGATCATTAAGGTTTCTTCCATATCTAAGTGACGCACATGTGCGTATTTAATTTTAAAATTGCAGAAAGTAATAATTGTCAAAAGAAACAATTACTGGAAATTGCAATAGAAAACTTTATTACAAAGAATATAATAATTACAAGTTATGTTCATTATGGAACTGTACAAAACAATTTCCAACAAAAAGGCTAGGTTCTCCAGGACACACGCTATATTCCAATACGGTGTTTCTTAGATTATTCTTTGGACATCTTTTTCTCTTTATCCGACGTCTATAACCACTTGAAATTTTTGAAATGGTTTATCTGATATTTGATGTTGTAGTTTGTTTTTTTGGAGTAATCGATAGTTTTGTAAAAGATGTCTGAAAATTTCTAAACGATATTCATATAAATTTATTTTTCTACCAGTGTATGGAGTATAACTTTTCTATAAATAATAAGAATCTAATAACAAAACAAAATATGTGAATACCTATTTTTTTATACCATCTCATTGTATTTCGTTCATATGGATAGTAAGCGAGCATTTGAGCTTTGTGATCAACAGTACTCATAAATTCATTATTTTTAATATCCGTAGATATGCGTACATAACTTCTCGTTTATCTCTCCACTTTTCTACTAAAATGCTATCTTTTGTACTGTCCTACTGTCTGTCCTTTTGTACTCGGAGGAAAGGTTTCTGAGAACTGCTTGATAAATAAATAGGGTAACAGTTCCCTCTTCAAACTTTTCTAAAAAGTAAACTTTTATAAGCAAGGGGTAATTATGCCAAACATTAGAAGACATAGGTATCTTAAAAATTCACATGTGCGTCATCAGCACTTGACTGCAGCAATATTCTGACGCCCATAGGCGAGATTAGCATGCAACGTGTTAACAATCATTATTTATTCGGCCTTCAATAATATCTGAACGGCAATATTTTGCTAAAGTACTTTTTCTACACCCGTATTATAATAATGCACTTATATGCCCATAATCCGTTTCATAATGATACCCATTATGATACAGATTTTTCATTACGATACAGATTTTTAATCAATAGAAACCTACAATTTTTCAATCAAGCATGCTGTTTGACGTTTGTCCTAGGTTCCTATGTAATTATTTTAGTTGTCAAAACGTATTAAATTTTCGTAGGTAGCTAAACTTCGATAATTATAATATTAAAATGTCTGATATTAGCGATATAGAAGACTCCTCCACACATATCGGAGAAAGCAGAAAATACAGTACAAAATATTTTACCGCAAAAATCTAGGGAAATACCAATACCTGAAGTAATACCATTAATTACAATTTTGTAGAATTTTTTATAGAAATACGAGTAATTACTGTTATTGTGTTCAATACCAATATAAATATAATATTTATAGGTCTTGATTATTTATCGGGTGTAGAAAAAATAGCGTATGCAACTCTCATGTAATGGTTATTAAAACACTCGCATAAACCATACGAAACTCGCCTTTGGCTCGTTTCGTATCCCGGTTAATGCTCGTGTATTAATAACCATCATTACATGATCGTTGCATAATATACTATTATAGTGGTAAAGTTTAAAATGGACTAATAAAAAAATTGACAGTCCATTAAAACTTTTTCTACGTTTTCAGGCTAGTCTTATTAGATAAGAAAATGTGGAAGGAAAAATTGTGTACACTTTATTTTATGTTTATAGTGACAAAGGCAACTTATTAGAAAATAAAGGTGTAGTTTCATATAGATGTTTTTGTTTTGAAAAATTGCGTTGAAAATCATTATTTAATAACGATGATAATTATTATTTGAATGAATAAATATATAACAAACGCAATAAGTGCAATTAAAAAATTAATTAAATGACCTGTTTCGAAAATTTCCGATTCAAGCTGGGAATTTTATACCACACAATAATAAAAGGGTAAGACCAGAAAATAGTAAACAAATCTTTTATCTACAAAAACGTAATTACGTTCAAGGCTTCCAGATAAAAAGTTTAAAATAATGGTAATAAAACAAATTACTGTATTGTTTTTAAATTATTACTGATAAGGAAAATATGTACAATTAATTTTCTGTTATGTTATTATTAATGGGTTTTTTTTTTTTTTGTTTTTTTTATTAAAATATCTAATTTTAGCTCATAACAAATTTCTGGTGTAAACTGGTGTAAACTAGTGTAAATCGTTGCAAGAAACGAATGATGACTCATAGTGTACGATATGATAGTTACAGACGCGTTACACTAGAAAGTAGCACTTAACGAGGCGTTTTAGTCACTAATTTCGGCGAATTTTAAAAAATCAATGACAAGAGATTAAGAGCTAAAATTTGGGGATTATATTAAGAATACTGCTATTGAGGAATGCATTCATTTTCATTATGATATTTCAAAATTTAAAGCCCTTTGATTTTTTTTCTTGGAAACTGGAAATAATTAAAACTTTAAAATATAAGCATATTTCTGCGGTAAAGATAGCACACTTTACCCA